CTGTCTCTGTGTCTCTGTCTGTCTCTCTCTCTCTCTCTCTCTCTCTCTCTCTCTCTCTCTCTCTCTCTCTCTCTCTCTCTCTCTCTCTCTCTCTCTCCCTCTCTCTCTCTGGGGTATTTATATCCATCTAAATGTATTTTTAATATCAAATTCAGCATTAGTCCTGATATCATCATCGGCTTCATCCTAAGCTGGAAGCCCCACATTCGCTCTACCGTGATATGTGTAATTACCAAGATCCCATCTTTAATAATATGTCCGCAATAACTTAATTCCCGGTGGTATCGCGACGGCCGATTCTTCCGGTCAGAAAAGGTATTTCCAGCCGGCTTTCAATTTCCATTGGAATACTGGTTATCCGGCTCCCTTCTCAGAAGCCCAAAGTTACTATTGTCATCTCGCTATCAACATATACCATATATACATAAATAAATATATATAAAATATAATATATATAATATATATACATATATATTATATATATACATATATATATATATATATATATATATGTATATATATACATACATATATATATATATATATATATATATATATATATATATATATATATATTCCGGAAATGACATCTATATTCTATCACAGATCAGAAAATAAATAGCTCTTGTGTGACAAAGCCTTGGTCGCAGACAGGAAACCATTATAGAAATATATAAATGGTAAAATTTCCATGAAAAACAAAAGCTCAATATGAGTGTATCTATAAAAGGAAAATAAAGTGTACACTCATGTAACCATATATATTATGTGTGTACCTACCTACATGCATACATGTGTATATAAATATACATATATACATATATAAAACGTATATATACACATATATACAGATACATACATATACACAAATATATATAAATATATATAATATATACAATATATACATATATATATATATATATATATATATATATATATATATATAATATATATATATATATATATATATATATATATATATATACATATATATATATATATATATATATATATATATATATATATATATATATATATATAACTTGTCAATTAAAAATATTCTTAAAAAATAAAAAGGAAAAGAAGAAACAATATTCAAACTTATATAAAATAATCCTTTCAAAAGTATGCTGCTTTATATGATAAAACATGAAACAGTAAATGTAAACGCTAACAAAATACAAGAAAATAACCAAGAGAGTAAACCTTCCACGTAAAATCTAAATTGCTTTAGAAGATTATGTGCTATTTTGGCCGCAACTTTTGACATAAAGACCCGAACTTAGACGGGGCATCGCGCCCGTCTTCATCCCGGCGACTTTTGTAAGGCTCCTCTCTCTCTCTCTCTCTCTCTCTCTCTCTCTCTCTCTCTCTCTCTCTCTCTCTCTCTCTCTCTCTCTCTCTCTCTCTCTCTCTCTCTCTCTCTCTCTCTCTCTCTCTTTCAACCTGTCGCCCTCGAGTGATAGACTGTCCTTCCCTTTGTGATAGACAGATTCTCAGCCTAACCAAAGTCCTCTACAGTAACCCTATCCTCTACCCCCCCTCTCTCTCCCTCTCTCTCTCCCCCTCTTCCCCTCTCCCTCTCCCCGTGTCAACCCATCACTCAAGAATCCCTCCATTCCTCCCCCGAAACCCGACTTCCCCTTCGCCCGGGGGAACCACCACCTCCTCCTCGAAGCTCCAAGTCTTTCGGTGCATTAAGTCATCGTTCTCCACCTTCCCCCTCCACCTCCTCCTCCTCCCCCCCTTAGGTCGGTCCTTAGTGTTCAAAAACCTGTTGTTCTTTAGGGATGGGCGTGAGTTATCTCCTTCCCCCGCGTGCTGGTCTGTCACTCCCTTCAGTCTTAATGAATAAAAAGTCATAACTTTTTTTTTTTTTTTTTTTTTTTTTTTTTTTTTTGGTATTGTTTACATGATACACAATAGCTTCTTTGCAATACATAAAACCTCCTGTTCATTGAATTGTCCCATTGTGTTTCTCCGCTCATTATTCACTCCCTAAGCATCCAAAGCTCCACAGAACAAACCTATCACTGCACAAAGAAAAGCGAGAGACGCAATTATCAAAGACCATATAACCGATGAATGGACGGCACAAAGGTCTCGAGACGGCCGGAGCAAACGCCAGATTCGAAACAATTAGATCATCGCCAGAACAGAACTGACTCAAGAATCCATTGACATGCATTGTCTCTCTCCTCATGCGTTCACGAGAAAGAACTTCCCGACCAGGGTTGCTTGAGACAAAGAAGTGTTCCGAGGTTGCACAAAAAAGAGGATAAGTAAGAAGAGAACACTATAAACCAAAAGGAAAATATAAAAATACACAACACCGAGATAACAAAAGCTGTTCTGGCGAATCCACGTTAAGTGTTAAGAGACCCATTTGTTTGTATTGGTAATAAAAGAACATGAAGAAGAGACAAGACTTTTCCTTATCAGCCTGGCAGAGACTGACGGCTGTCATGGGAGCGAGGGCAGCAGAATGGAAGGGAAATCAACATAGACAATTTTCCGAGATAGAAAATAACACTGGACTGAAATATGCTTGTATATGACCCGACTGGATTTTTTGGGAAGACTACCATTTTCTTGAATAAATCCTAAACACATATCTTAAAAGTGAGTGAAATACTGTCACCATAAACCCGTCACATGTAAATCATAATTCAAATTCCTATTCAATATGTACGTTACAAAGCCCAATCTCCTGACACTGGCTTCCTTTATGATAAAAATCCTGACTTTGTATTTGTGAAGATGAAACATCTCACAATCACACGATAAAAATAACAACCACAGCAAACGAAATCACAAAATCACAAGCACATTTAACAAGACACAAAGAAGCACACCACACAAAGCATGGGGTGCAGCTGTCATATACTAACAACACTTGCAACAACCACTGTGGTGTTACAATACAACTCCTACACAACAAAGAGAGGTCTGTAATTATAAGCACAATTTCGCATGTCACAAAAGAACGATATTTATCAACATTCAGCACACTGATCATAACGCTACTTATGTTTTCACATCTGAGTATTGCACTATCAACAGCGAACATTTGTCTACACCTGTTCCCAACAGCGGAGCACAGGTGTTCCGTGTACACATCTGTCTTACTCAACCACGCTATAGTATTTTTCTATTCTAACACACCATCAAGACTCACGGATGTCCTGTAATTGTGAACTGAAAAACACACAGCACACTCATTTCGTTTCGATGACTTGCTCTTAGCCCTGAACTCCTACTCTCGACACTGTTCCTCGAAAAATGCAAACGTTTTGGGGACTCCACACATTTTTTTTCCTTGCGACTCCTTTCATAATTGCAATCGACACTTTTCCCCCAACCCGTGAGTGTGTGTTGACAAACCTCTGACAGATTCTCCTGGAGTCCAAAGAACAATATTCTCGGCACAGACTGTTCCTAAGTAACAACACTCCGGCGATAAGTGAACTATCGTTACATTCTTTTCCCTCTCCACCACGGGAAAAATATTCACGCCATCTTTATCTTGCCTTATTTCGTTTACCCGAGAAAAAAACATTTTTTCCCTTGTGATGAAAGGAAAAAAAATCTACCAGCAAGCTCAAGTAGACTTCCCCATGGCTCCTCCCCAACGGCTATCATAAAAGTGAAAAAATAAGGGGGAGGAGGGAGGGAAGATTCGCCTAATTAAATGAATGCATGTTTTCCTCAACAACTTTTCCATTACATAAAATGAAACGGGCCAGTAGGAAATTCTCATTCTGTAGTCTGCAGTAAGCTCCATTAGCTAATTACCGAGTGGACCCGCTCTTAACCCGTTTACATGAGGATAGAGGAGAGAGAGAGAGAGGAGAGAGGAGGAGGGAGGGAAGGATGTAGGGGGGAGAGGTGTCTATCATTTCTGGAACTAAGTCCCCAAAAAATCCGACATCGACTTTGAAGATTGACAAGTTCGGTGACGACACGCCAAAGAAATAAGTGATGAAAAAAATAAAATGTTTTTTTTTTCTTTTCTTCCTAATCTGCTTATTAACCAATACGAATACCGGACTAGAAGCAAAATAAAAGAAAAAAAATAGAAAGCAAGAGCGGAATTAGGAGAGGGAAACCTCCCTGACCCAGCGAAGGATACAGGGCGCCAAAAAGCGAAGTCCGCAGACTGGCGCTGTGAGATGACTGGCTAACCTATCGCGGTTTCCGGTGTAGGAGAGTTCTCCCTTTTGACCAAGACTTTCGTGCCTTTCTCCGACGCCGCACTCGAGCATCTTCGCGGAAAAACCAGGCGGGGATTTGTCCCGAAGCGGCGTGTTGTCCCCTCGCGAGCTGGCACCGGCGGCCCGACCCGATCGTCAATTTTGGGGACTTTGCATTTTTTTCCCGTCCGACGTGGGCGCGCGACAGAACTACTGTGAAATGAAGACTAAAACTCCATTTTATTTGCTGGTAATTTTGCAGATCGCGTTTGTCTACCCATCGTCATCTTCTCGGTGTCATTAATGTAATTGCACTTCCACATGTACAAATTAAGAACAATTAATCACCGCCGTGTCACAACAACCGGACACTGACATTCATCCCAGGTCCTCATTATCATAAAGTTGTTGGTCACCGAAATTCGTCCTTATTTGTGAAATATATTTTGACAAACGGCGAGAGAAATAAAGAGCGAGAGAAAACATGGAAATATTGAGACTTGCATTTTTTTACGGGACAGACGATGTAAATTCGTATCACTGAGCTGACTCTCGGCGAGGACTGAGTCGAGATTTGCACAAGTCCCAAAAATTTACATTTTCGCTTCCGCACAGAAGTCGGCACACGGAGGCCGAAGAGCCACCGGATGTGGCACTTGGGCACCACTGGCGGTCGCCCTCCTCGCCAGTCTCGACACGCACCACCGCCGCACTAGAGTACACACACAAAACACACTGCTACATACACCCTCGCTGCTGACAAGTGCCTAACTGAGTCAAAGTGCAAAGTGTCACTGGCTGCCTTACCTGTGGTCCACATCGTCCCTGGCCTGGCCGTGCCTCATACTCAAGCCGAGGCTGGGCTGGGTACGTGAGTGCACGCCCCTCTCACAAAGTTCCTGACTCGCGTCTTGTCCTCTCTTGTTCTGATGGTATGTGCGTGGCCTCGCCCCCGTGCCCGGCCGTGCCACTGGGTAGGCTGCACGTGCCTGGCCCGTCACTAGCACCATGCGCCACAGCACCACACTGTGCGGCAACAACCACCACTCCACATGCACAAGTATCACTGGCGTGGCACCTCCGCGGCCGCCACCCACCGTCTGCACATAGTAATGACGCCTCGGCGAGAATTAGTAGGTAAATGTGGCGGCGAGTATGCGCGGGCTGGCCCACCACCGCCACCTCCCCGTGGGGGGGGCGCCCATATGGAAATGAGAGGCGCAGGGGGGAAGCGCGCCCCGCGACACCACACAACTCCTCAGCCAACACTGAGCACACAGCTGCCGCCTCGCTCTCCCACACGACCGACCACTGCTCGCGCTACTCCTACGTAACTTCACACTAGCCGCTACACCTCTACTCTACAGTCTTCCAGACACGTTCCTCAGCGAGCACCGAGCGCGGACTGTCATGCGGCCGCTCCGAGTAACTGCGGCGGACTGGAGGCGGCGGACCCGCTCCGACCCCGCTGCTAATTACCGCCGCCTCGACCAATGAGCGGCCGCCGCCCACCCAGGCCCCGCCCCCCGCGCCGCCCAGCCACGCCCCCCTCCGCGGTATGCAAACGAGGCTCTTAGCGGCGGCGACCATCACACCGTCGCCGCCGCTGCCACTGTCGCCCCAGAAGCCACGGCCGCCACCAGCGCCGGCCGGACCACCCAGGCACCGCCGCCCCACCAGCGCCTCGCACCGGACTTTACGGCATCATAAATCCCCACTCCTCCAGGGAACAGGCGCCGCGCGGCCCACCTCACGCCCTCGCCAACACCTCCTGCAACACCTTCTGGCCGGCCGCGTGCCGCCACCAGCCCTCGTGGCCACACTGCTTGCCCAGCACCCGGGCCATATTTCTCCGTTCTCCTCTCCATTTCTCTTCTCCACGCGCCGTAGAAGGGAGATGGACGGAGGAGGCGAGGGAGGGAGAGGGACAGGAAGGTGCAGACCCTGTGCTTGAGTGTTTTGCTTTTATTTGCTTTGGCGTTTCTCCCGTTTGGTTTATTTATGTTAACTCTCTGGCGATTTGGGACTCTGTTGCCTCCCGATTTACGGCACAGATTTGACAAGGAGCGACGGAAACATCGCAGGAAGTGTAACCGATTTCCTTTATTTTTTAAATCTCGATTATCTTTATTCAACCATCATTATCATTTTGAAGATATTCCACATTACATGGATTACTTGTGTTTTCCCCCACAACAGAGCCTGATACACTCCCATAACTAGAACAAAACATTAACAGAAAGAAAATTAATTAAGAATATAACATACAATAACATTAACCACAGTCTCCCTCTCTCATCACCCACTGACAACCCTCGACCACAAAAGTGAACATTTTTTTTTACAATATCTCGCGCATTTGGGTTATACTACTTAGACGGAAAATAGTACATCTGAACAAAATATACCTTTTTATCTTTTAATTAAACACTTTTACACAGTTAAAAAAAACAATAAAATTTAGTCCGTGACAGTTTTCACTATATTTTCGGACATGTTAGGTGAAAATATACCTATATACGTAGCATCTCTCTATGTTAACATGGTATGGTTTAACATTTGGAATCAAAATTTAATAAAATAATGTTTATTTTGATTTATAATAGAAAGCTGACATTACATCGAATATTTACTAAATCAACAAATACTCTAGTATACCAAATAACTCACCATTGTTCAATACATCGCACTGTTCTACCATAATTAATAAAAACTCACTTATTATGAAATCTTTTTTTAAAATCTCAGTTAACACAATATTTAATTCTGGTTTATTTTTTTACTTGGGTTATTATTTGAAAGGCAATGATTTCATCATTCTAATTTCTGTAATATATTGTTTAATTTATGTTTATATTTATACATGACTTTTTGCGCAAACTTCGGTACTTTTCATAAATGATAAATAATAACTTGTTCATTTTGCTTTATTCATAGGCTACTTATATATCTCTCATCATTATTATAACATTATAACTATTATTATTATCATTATTACTATTATTATTATTATTATTATTATTATCATTATTTGTATCATTAGTATTATCATTATTATTATTATTATTATTATTATCATTATTATTATTGTTATTATTATTGCTATTATTATTATCAATATCACAATTTCTATCTTCATTATCATTCTTCTTAACATTATTATCATTACTATTGTTGCTTCTGTCATTACTACAACCATAATATTTGCAACATTATTGCCTTTGCTGCAATGAAACTTTTCATAATTCTTGTTAGTATTATTAAAGTATTCTCAACGTAGTTATTCACTTTAAAATATTTAATATCATCTGTTACCATTACTAATATTTAGAGGATGGTGTTGATGATAATAATAATAGTAATAATAGTGATGATAACGATAATGACAATAATAAAAATAATAACATTAGCATTGATATAATTATTTTCATTAATATCATCTTTAATAATAGTGTTATTACCACTACTGCAACTAATGATAATAATAACGATAATAAAAATAATAATCATTATTATATCAATAATGATAATTTTAATAAGAATAATATAGCAACAATATCAATAATAACATTAAATTGACAATATAAACCATGATGATAATAATTATAATAATAATAACAATATGATAAGGATACAGCCAATGATCATTATTTCAAATAGTTTGTTACTGCTTTTGTTTGCATCATGTTTTGTCATTAATAACAGTAATATCCCTATCATTATTTTTACTAATATTAATTCTCCTTTCATTATAATAATATCATTATTCAAATTGCATAAGACTTTAAATATTAACATGTATTTTTCATAATGTCTTATTTTTTTCTACAGTGTTATTATTATAACATCGATGCTAATAATGATTGTAACACATTTTCGATTTATCACTTTGATTAATAGTATTTAATATCAAACAATCATAAAGTGACAATCATATTGATGATGTTGGGATGATGATAATAATAAAAATAATAATGATAATAACAACCACAAAAATAATAATGGTAACGATAACAGCATCAAAATAACAACTATGATAATAACAATAACAACAACAATAATAATAATGAAAATAAATAATAATAATAACATTACCAAACCAATAATAATGACAATACTACCACTACAACAACAACTACCAATGATGATAATAATAACAATAATAATAATAACAATAATAACAATAAAATGAAACAAAGAACGCTAGATTATAACACCAAGACGAACAATCGCAGTGATATAGTGGAAGGAGGACGACCAACTGCAATAACAGTTTTAGATTTAGAAGTTGTGAAAAAAATATCAAACATTCAGAAATCGAATCCTGAGAGGGTTATGATCAATTAAATAGCTGTTTAAAAATCGAATAGTGAGAGGGTTAATCATTAATTAATTAGGCTTAATTAAATAGACGTTAAAAATGGAATATTGAGTGAATTAATATTTTCGGTTTAATGGTGATGGCAGTGACGGCGGTGGTGATATCATGGAAGGTTGAAAAGAGTAATATTATTGATACTAATTATGGTAATATTATTTGTGGTAATGATAATGATATTCATGGTGATGATAATATTCATGGTGAAGATTATGGTGATAATGACGATGATGAAAAATATAGTAGTAGTAGTAATAATAATAGTAATAATCCTAATAATAATAATAATAATGATAATAATAATAATAACAACAATAATAATAAGATAACAATGATAATAATAATAACGATAACAACAATTTTCTTTATCATTAACGGACAGACTATCATCGGCAACAGATATAACATTAATGAAGATCATCATAAACCATTATAATGAAAATAATAGTAACAATTTTTATCACCATTATGTGTATAATTTCTCGCTCAAGATTGTGACGTTATGTGAATGTTAATAGTAATTATGAAAACAGCGATAATGAAATAGTAATAAGTGTTAAAAAATAACAACAACAAAACAACAATAATAAAAGTGATATAGTGACAATGAAACTACTACTACTGCTATTAACAATACTGGTAATAATAATAATAATAATAATAATAATAATAATAATAATAATAATAATAATAATAATAATAATAATAATAATGATGATGATGACAACAAAAACATTAATTATAATTAGAATAATAATAATAATAACAAAAACATTAATTATAATGCTAATAATAATAATAATGATAAAAAATATAATGATAATAACAATAATAACAACAACAACCGCATTCAAGAAATTTTGAATACAAATATACTACAATCATTAATAAGAAAGCAACGCAGAACTAATAATTGTTTTCCTTAGAGCAATAACCAACAAAATCATCATAAACATTTAATACAATTAATATCGTGAAAATTATCATCGTTACTCGTTTTGCAAATATGTTAATAAATGATAATATCCGCCCATGTCACCAAAGTTGTATTAAAATTCGATTAGAATTAAAAGTAATAAATATACATTGATATGATAAGTTACATATAAAAAATATATATTATCACTACCGCCATTTCTAGAATAAAAATAATTGAAACAATTCTTTGACATTAAATCATCCATATTTCTTTTCATCATTTCATAGAATACAGTTCAAAACAATACATAGAAGAATTATACAAGAATTATACATTTATTGTGAATAACATCATCACCTCTTTGCAGCAGTATTACCAACGACGCTAGCATTATTATAACGTCGCTGGCAACGCTGTTATTGTCCTTTTAAAACCAGGATTTTCATCACGAATGTTATCATCAGCTGTTAATAAAATTATCATTAGCATTTTTATCCCCCAATTATTCCAACCGGATACTGTTATCAACATCACTGTAATTTTAAGTGAATTGAATTGTAAGTTTAATATCAACGCGATGGTTCCGATGTTCTCCGAATATGGTGATAATGACATCATAATGCGTACAACAACGTAACAACAATTATCATAATTGTTATAATAAATGGTAAGGTTAATAATGATAATAATGATAACTGCAAAAATGATCGTGATAATGCCAAACACTATTAACACTGATAACAAAGAATAAGAAAAAGAAAAAAGAAGAATATTAATGATATCAATAATAATATTATCAACAATAATAATAATAACAATAATAACCACTGATAATAATAATAATAATAATAACAAAATAACAATACGGATAAACAATACTAACGGCAACAAGAACAACAATAATAGATAATATTAATAACAAAACAATAAAAATAATAGTAATAATAATGATGATAAAACTAATAATAATAATAATAATAATAATAATAAAACCGGCAAAACCACGACAGAAAATCCAAAGAAACAAACTGACTTCACCTGCTCTCACCTCACCCCCCCCCACCCCTCCCCCTCTCCCTCCTCCCCTCCTCTTCTCCTCTCATCCTCCCCTCTCTTCCTCTCTTTCCC